CCTAGAAAGGGGGAGAAACTAAACCAAATAATATTACAGTGCATTTACCCAGAGCAGCAACCTTGCCAAGGAAACCACATAACTTGCACTTATGTATGCCTTATAGAAAACATGTTTAATTAAAACAAGAGACGGGGCAATAAACTTTCTTTTAATGTCACTTAAATGCACGTTACTGTTATATTTAATTTCCTTTTGGAGTAACATAAGGTTGATCTTAAAACCAAAGCCACACTCTTTATGGTTGAAGTGGTAAATTAAGCGACTTGAAGGCTCAGCTACTTAACAGCTGAAGGCAGATTTTAATTGGTGAGGGGGAAGGGGGCACACTAGATCAGGACTCTCAGCCTGTGGGAACTTTGGGAATTTTGAAAACAGGTAGTAGGTGCCACAAAAAAAGGCTGCTATGAACTGCATGGCTAAAACCAAAATGGCTGCCATGGGGGGGCTGGAACCAATGATAAAATGGTGGGAGGTTCCAGTCCAAGAGTCCTATGATACAGACAACTATTTCTAAATGGGTGCTGCACGCAGACACAAAGATGATGCCTTCTGGATTCATCTGTACCACATCCTGGTCCAGTGAAATGGAGGAATGCCAGGCCTGGCTCTTTTATGGAACCAGGAAGTGAGCACCGGAAAACACTCTGCACCCTGGCACCGATGGACACCACACTGGGGATCACTGCACTGCAGAGAGAAGTGGATAGGCAGACACATCGCATTTATATCCCAAGGTTATTTTGGCGTTTATTTATTTATTTATTATTACATTCGGTTTATATACCGCTCAGACCCAAAGGTCTCAGAGCGGTTTACAGATATATTGCAAATGCATTAATTCCCTAGACTATGGCCACATATATATTACAGGGGGTGGGGCTGCCTACCGGCACCCAGGTGGTGGGTTAGTTGTTCCCCAGCTCCCTTCCTCCGGTGGACCACTGGGGTCGGCGTCCCATTCTTGCTGTCTAAGGCCAGTCTTCTCAGCTCTGCGATCTTCTGGCGCGCGGCCCGTAGGAGCCCCGGCCCGGCTATGTCCACATCCGGCTCTGCCGCGCCTGTGCTTTTTACGTCACAGCGTGCTCTTTTGTGACTCCACCTCCACCTCTGCCGTCGCTGAGTGCTGGACGCTGCTGCTTTTTTCCTGCTGGCCACCAGGGATCGCCGCGCTGTTACTCCACCGCTACTGTTGTCGCCGTCACCGATGTTCCCACCACATCCCCACTTGGAGGAGGGTGCCCCCTACCCTTCTAAAGGCAGGTACCCATTTATCTACTTGCTTTATTGTTCTTACTTGCTTTCGAACCGCTGGGTGAGTGGGAGCTAGGACTAGGGCCGGGAGCTCACCCCGGCCGTGGTGGGTCTCGAACAGCCATAGGGCTGTTCGCTATGATGTTAATGCATGCGTTTTACTGCTTGCGCCACTGCTCCCTTTTATTGCAATATGAAATGAAAAAGAAAAGAATAAAAATGGCCTTTCTTTCTAAGAGTGAATGGTAGCTTACTCGCTAAATATGAAGTTGTCTTACTCTCCCCTCTATACCGTCATAAAAGAACCCTCAAGAGATCTTGTGGCATACACTTTGCATTTGTTTTTAAACTGTCTAATCACACTGTAGACTGCTTTGAGCATCAAGGAAAAGTGTAACAGAAATGACAGCCAGGGCCAATTCCAGGGTGGAACAAGGTTAGGTGTTTGTCAAAACTGCATGGGTTTAGCAGTTAGAATGTTCGACTAAGATATGGGGGCCTCAGGTTTGGATCCCTGCTCTACCATGGAAGCCCACTGGGGCTCTTGGGTCAATCACTCTCTGTCTGCCTTATCTACATCACAGGGCTGTTGTCCTGAGGCTAAAGTGGAAGAAGGGAGAATGATGTGAGCTGCTTTGAGAATGGTCTATATTTCTCTCAATTAATAAAGAAGTGTAATGAAGATTGTCCACTAGGGGGCTCAAAAGGACACTGGAGAGAGAGGGAGGTAAAGTGTTTTCAAAGGACCCCTATAAATACACTGGCCCTGCTAGGCAAGGGCTCAGCAGAATTTCAGCTAATATACTTGAAGAACAGGAAGAAACAGACTTCATTTTTGGCATTGAGTAACCAACTGTTATGTAAACCTGCTTCTAATTCAATACCAAGTACATAACTTTGAAAAAGGCCATGGGGAGGTGCGATTCTAAGTGCAACTGATGCAGTGTGATTTTTCAATTTATTATCCACGTTTGTTGACTTTTGAAAGTGTCAGTGGCTGGAAATATTAAAACCACTGGATCAAAGTGTCCTGATGGCTAGAGGTGGGAGGTCAGCAGAAACCAAGGGCTTTGTAGCTGCAACATGGGGATTGAAACCAGGCAAGACCTGGCTTTAGGAAACTCCCGTTTTCAAAAAGGCAAATAAACCAAGTGCAAATATAGAGCCATCAGCAGTTAGTGTGCAATACCATCATTCTGCATTGCTCCTCTCTGGCACCCTGCAAGCCCTGCTTCGGCTCCTGGCACTAAAATGAAGCTGCAAAGGTGACTGCTGCTATTTACCGAGCCCAGCCTAGCCTGATCTCAGAAGCTCTTAGCAGCTGAGCTGGGTCAGCCCTGGTCAGTATTTGGATGTGAAGAGTACAAAAACGGAAAGTGATTTCAGCAAAGCGTACTTTATTCTATCTGGAACAAGACAACTTTGGTCGGCTCACAAGCTGGCTTATATCCCCAGAGAAACCGCCACCCAAAACACACCCCTACTTCCCTATAGGTTATTTACAGTGGCCGAGAGTCCCATAGGCTCTCGGCCAGGAACCTAGCCCCCTGATTGGAGCAGGCTAGGTTCCGCATAGTCCATTGTCTCTTGGAGCGAAGCTCGACGTTTGTCTCTGGACTTGTCTGGACTGGATACATTACAGGATGGGAGACAGGCAATGGCAAACCACCTCTGAACTTCTCTAGCCTTGACAACCCCACCGGGTGACCATAAGTCAGCTGTGACTTGATGGCAAAACCCCAAAACAAACAAAACCCAGAGTTTGTTGAGTAGCTACATAGTAATACACAGGAAGATATGAGGAGGAAGCAATTGTGGGCAAGCAGGACCATAATTCCATCAGTCCAGCTTGCACTGAAGAGTATCAGCTGTGGGTTTTCAGATGACATGCTGTTGTTCTTTTGTCTTGGGCAGACAGACAGGGCCACCCAAGGCATGTTGCTGTCACCCCCCCCCCACCCCCCGCAGCTGCACCAGAGAGTCAAAGAGAGGATCCCATGTGGTATATATCATGCTTCCTGACTAGCATATTGAGATCTTGTGCAGGGCCATGTGACCCTTTGAGAGCTCAGGTTATGCCCTCTCATGTTTATCCTTTTGGCTTCCAAATAAAAAACTCTGTTTGCACTACACACACAGGGCTTATATGTTCTTGCCAAACAGTACCTTAATATCCAAGCCTATAATTAAACATCTCCTGTTAAAATAGAATTTGGGTGGCAGAGGCCGTACCCTCCCCTCAAAATCCCTCAAGACTTTAAGGCTTAAATTGCACCCCCATCCCCACATGGCTCCTTTGTGCAAACAACCCCCAATCCCTTTAAATTTAGCATTCTTGTCTAATCCAGTTTTTTTCAAGGACAACATCCCAGTTTCGTTTGTGCAATCCAAAAGTGGGAAGTGAAAAGGACAAGATGCTTGTTCATTTTACCAGAGGAAAGACATGCTGAAGCACTGGAAAAGGAGAAGACAAAGTATTGTTTAAGTGAACCGAAGTAAAAGATCCATATACAAATGCAGGGAGGAGGCAGGATGGTTGGTTAATTGCAAGAGGAATTAATGTCACTTTTCATTGATTTAAAGGGCCAGTGAGACCCATGCTTCTTCATGAAGTAGTGTTGCCAGGTCTGGGTTGAAAAATACCTGGAGACTTTGGGGGTGGATCCAGGAGATGGTGGGGTTTGGGGAGGGGCCTTAGCATGGTACAATGCCATAGAGTCCACCAATGTTCCCTCTAAGCTGTGGAGTCTCATGAGCAAAAATTCTACTTTGTGAGCTATTGGCATTAAAGTTGTGAGCGAGAGAATTAGCTCCTGCATAAATTTGTTTGCTCTGGAGCCCTCCTTCCTGAGCCAAGACAAAAATGTGTGAGCCGGAGGCTAAAAAACTATGAGCTAGCTCACACTAACTCAGCTTAGAGGGAACACTGGAGTCCACCCTTCAAAGCAGCCATTTTCTCCAAGGGAGCTGATCTCTGTCATCTCGGGATCAGTTGTAAAAGCAGATCTCCAGGCCCCACCTGGAGGCTGGCAACCCTACAGTGAAGCATTCTAACACATCTAAGTACTTACGCTTAGCCTTTCCTGCACTGCTCTTCCTTCTCTTTGTTGTCTCACTTGTGTCAAGTACCAGGTGTTCTTGTTTTGTAAATGCAACTGCACAGGAGCTTTGCCATTAGGGAAGCTGGCATCTGACTTCATCATATCTGGGGTTAAGGCTGGGTGCCCGGATGTACTCTTTTACAGGTGAGAGTCATTGTACTCTTCTCTTCACTTGCACTCTTCAGGTGTTCTGTATGTTTTTTTTGGCCAGGAGCTGAGCTCTGCCTGCTCCCCCAAAACTCGATGGTGCTTTGTAGTTCTATCTAAAGTATAGTGATAATATAATAACTGTGTGCAAATTTGTATATATAAATGTAAATTAACATATGCAAAAGCTGTGCTGTCCCCCCCCTCCCTTCTATGGACCTCTGGGTTGGTTCTCTTTCGATGGGCATCCTAGGGAAAAAGCTGGTGGCTTCTTCGCGGCCGGAGGACGGAGCTCGCCGACAGCCCGAAGAGGCGGCTCTTGGAAAGCAACCGGCTAAGAAGCCGGCTCCCCCGTCCAGCCCTTCACTCTCCCGCAGCTCCGCGACTCCCAGCACACTACGACAGGGCCGCCGATGGCGTCTGGCTCAGCCACACGCGGGGCGGGGCAAGCGGTGGGTCCTCCTCCCGCTGGTGCTCCCGGCTCAGTGCTCCGGCCGCTAAGCAAGCGAGCTGCGTCTCCGAGGGCCCTTGGGAAAGCCGCCTGCCCCCGGCCGGTAACGCGCGAGCGCCCTTGAGATCCCGCTTCCTCTCGCCGCCGCCGTCCCCAACGCAGCCGAGCCCGCCAGCGCGGCGCCTGCCTGCCTGCCTGCCTGCCTGCCTGCCAGCGTCGGGGGGCAAGGCCGCCCCCTCCTTCCCTACAGCGCTTGCTGGCTGCCCGCCCCAGCCTTCCGCTCTCCAGGCTCAGTGCTGCGGTTTGGGGTTTTGTTTTTTGTTTTTGGGGGGGAAGCAATTGCCACGCCCGGTCGGCCTTGTTGGGAGTGCCTGCCTGCCTGCGTCTTGCTTGAGTTCCGCCATAATATAAAACTGGTGAGCAAGAAAGATGCGGGTTTCTTCAGGCCGTATTGTTATGGGACCGTGGGGGAGGGGGAGTGGTTTGCTGTTGTATGAACTCCTCCCTTTAAAACAGACAAACAAAAAACCACTTTATATAGACACACGAGATGTAATTCTTTTGCACTTTCAAGTTACTATGCGGTGTGCGACCCCCCCCCCTCCCCCGGCCATACCAATCTACTTTTTTCATTTTCATTGTAACGGTTGTGAAGAAGGTACAGTCCCACAGCGCGAGGGTGGGGAGAGGTCTGTGGGCGGGTTTAATCGGGGGGGGGGGGGGGGGGGGATCTTGCCTATGGAAAAGGGTCGGTTATTTTATTTATACTTATACCCCTCCTTTTTCGCTGAGGCTCAAGGCAGATTACAACTTTGAAAAAGTTTGACATCAGGGATACCAATAATCAATGCAGTAGGGTTAGATACGTCTCCTGTCCTGAGGCAGTTTTCTTTGTATTGGGACTTTAATTTAAAACAAAAAACTTCAATCTTGGGAGCCATGCCCAGCCAGGGGAATTGGTCACAGGCAGGTTTTCAACCTGAGCTGCTGTTTGGGGAGAACTAGGCCCGAGGCTTTCCCCCCTCAATCCTGGGATTCGTTTTTATTTTGTCGTTTGGATTGTCAACACAGGAATGATATAAGATTCAGGAACATTTGTGCTCACTTACCTGAGTAAGCCCCGGTAAGTACATTAAAATGTAGGGCTGAGCTATCGAGTGTATTCAAACTGTATATGAGCCCCCCCCCCTTGTGCCTTAGTTGACCTTTGCCTACTCCATGGGGAGGGATGGTTTGGATCGGCAGGTAAAGCTGTCTGGTCTGGAGCCACCAGAACTGGATTTATGTCCAAACTAAGCAAACTAGAGTTAAGGACTCAGATTACAGAAGGGCCTCTAAATATAAACAAGTTATTAAAAACTACAAATGTACTTTTTTATACTGGGTCATTTTTAAACATAACTGAAAACGAAAAAAGGGGGGAAATAAACTTAACTGAAACCAAACTCAAGTAAGTACCTGCAGATTAAGAATATATAAATGTATAGGTCTAATAATACTGTTAGTTAAATTAAAAATTAATAAATATTAACAAATATACAAAAGTATACATGTATGTTTTTCACACATATTGGCCCTCACATTAGCCTCAGTTATCACTGATAATGTACAGTGACATCCAAAAGTGACAAATATTGACCTGACCAGACATGTTTTGACCCAATTGGCCTTCCTCAGTGGTCAAACTAATAATGTTACAACATGGTTTCTGATGTAACAATATAACATTCATTTCATTTATCATAAACTGACCAAGATGAAGTTATTCTGATAATTACTGCCTATGACCAAGTGCAAGGGTTTTAATCAAAAGCCTCATTATTGTGAGCCAGTTTGGTGTAGTGGTTAAGTGCGCGGACTCTAATCTGGGAGAACTGGGTTTGATTCCCCACTCCTCCACTTGCACCTGGCTGGATGACCTTGGGCAAGCCATAACTCTGGCACAGCTGTTCTTGAAAAAGAGCAGTTTCTGTCAAGAGTTCTCTCAGCCCAACCTACCTCACAGGGTGTCTGTTGTGGGGAGGGGAAGGGAAAGGAGTTTGTAAGCCGCTCTGAGACACCTTTGGGTAGTGAAGGGCGGGGTATAAATCCAATCTCTTCTTCTTCTTCTTCTTCTTCTGAGTTTACAGCTATGGTAAGATATATGTTCCTATAGCAATGATTCAGTTTTGTACCTTTCTTGCTTGGTCAGAAAAATTCTGTGAGGACAAGAGCCAATAGTGATGTGATGGTGTGAATAGTGATGATGGCTATGAACATTAGGCCTTCTTGACACTGACATAATCACAGGTGCACTGAAGAATCACAGCTGTCCAGCTTCGGACAAGTGGAGATGCAGCTGTGGCTGGGGGAGGGGGGTACAGAGACTAACACTCTGCCTCCCCCTGCCTGCTTGCTGTCTTGCTTGAAGTGCAATCGCTACAGGGTGCCAGCTCCTGCTCTTCAGGTGGGCAGTGCCAGTTCCCGCTCCTTCCCCATGTGCCCCTTGTCAGGTTTCCCTCAGCTTTCCCAACTTACCAGCAACTTTGACTGACAGAAACAGGGAACTGACAGCCTCTCAGCATGTGACGGTGATTTCTGGCCCTCAGTGGCTAGAGTGGTCTGACAGAGCTGTGGGCATTAAGGCAGCCCACAGCAGGGCTGCAGCCAGCATCTCCACCAGCCTTGGTGGAATAGGGGCAGGGGTAGCCACATCACACATTTTGCTCGTGACAGTTGCCCCTGTGGAAGAATAAGGAATGCTGTCTCAAAATGGGAACCATTTTCTTTTTGATTGCTTCAGGTAGAGAGTTGGGGTAGCGACCACACTGGTCAAGCTTTACATCATGCTGCCTCTGTTGCCAGGTCATTTAAGTCCCTCGACTTTCACACCAAGTGGTTCTGAAATTGTGTGTCTGTCTTGTGTACAGTAGTACCTTTGCAACCCAGTACTCTGTGCATAAGGATCGGCAAAGTGTGGCACCACTTTAATGCCAGCATCAGAAGAAGACCAGAACAGAGCATTTCTGGTCCAAAGTATATAAGATAACCGGGACAGGATTTCCGATGTGTTTTTTTCTAGTCTCATTGTCGCATTTATTCTCCAAACCAACCAAGCAGCAAGGGGAAGAGGCAGAAGCAGGAGAAGGGGGAAACTCCTATATGTCTCCTTTTTCTTTGTGATTTCCATGCTCAACGTAGCCATTTTGGTGCCAGCTGTCCTAAACATGTACTTTGGGAGGCTAAATACCTCTAGCGTTCCTTGCTATAGGATCCTCTCCATCCTCAGAACTCTGTGCTCTTCCCCAGAGGGAGGCCTGCCCTGCAGTTATAAAATAAATGGGTTCAAAAAGTGATTCCCAAACCTTTTGAAGTGGGACTCACTTCTAAATTTTCTCTATCTTTTGGGGACCTACCACTGCCATGTTACAGGCTGGTGGCAGTTCAGGTGCAGCAGCTGATAGGTGGAGGTACTTCTGGAAGCAGAGAGTGAGCTAAACCCCAGTATGGGGTAGAGGTATGGGGTGAAGAAGGAGAGGAAGAGGAAGTGTGTCGGCTTTTGTTCCCCTTCTCTTTTCCCCCGTTCTAGGAGGACAGGGATAGGAGTCCTCTATCAGGTTGCCTGACCCTTGCAACCCATCTGTGAGAGAGCAACAAACCAACAGTGGGTTACAAACAGACCCACATTTTCACAACCACCGGGTTTGAAAGTCAGGGTCTTAAATGATGTGGAAACAGAGGCAGCATGATGTAAAGTTTGACCAGTGTGGTCTATACCCCAGCCCTCTACCTGACAGACTTAACCCAAATGGGGGTCCAACACCCATGAGCGAAGCAGGAAAAGTGTGCATGTTACTCCCATTCTGCAGACTCTCCATTGACTTCCCATCTGTTATCAGGCTCAGTTTAAGGTATTGGCTATCATGTACAAAACCCTTCATGGCCTTGGACCCTCTTGTTTGTTAGTCCTAAAGGTGCTACTGGGCTTTTTACTATTTTGCAGCAATAGACTAACATGGCCAACTCCTCTGGATCTTATTTGTGGGACTGCTACTCTTTCTGTGCTCTGCCACAACCACTTCGCTCACGTCAGCAGGAGCTTTTGCCTGTGCCAGCCTGCAAATGAGCGAAATCAACAACTGCCCCTACATGTGCTTTCTCCATTGTGGCTCCCATCTTGTGGAAGGGCCTGCCCGAGGAAGTCAGGAAGGTTCCTACTCTCCTAGCCATCCACAAATTATGCAAAACTGAATTATTCAAGAGGGCTTTTCCGCTTGGATAAATGATTGACCGTGGTCTGTACTGCTGGGTTTAGCCTTATTGTAAGTAGGATCCTATTTACGTAATTTCTGTTCCACTTAATGTGTCATGTGAATACTTACACTATGCTTCTGGTTCCAGACATCTAAAATCCTAGTGCACTGGTTATTGAATGTCGGTTTTGTGATTGTTGGTGGTGATGGAAAGGGCCATCAAGTCACAGCTGTCCTACAGCAAGCCCATCAGGGTTTTCAAGGCAAGAGACGTTCAGGGGTGGTTTGCCATTGCCTGCCTCTACGTCACAACCCTGCTATTCTTCCGAGATCTGGGCTATCCAGGTCAGGGCTTCGTGATTGTTATTGGCTCACTATGTATAATCTACCTTGAGTCTCTGCAAGAAAGACAACTATAAATAATATAAATAAATAAACAGTAACTTTTCTGTACTCCCAGGGATAGGGGAATAAGGGGTGGGGGGATGTTCAGAAAAGAGGATAGAAACAACTGACAGTTGATAACTGAGGAGTGTAGAGAGCCTTGTTTTCCCAAGAAACTAGACTCTAAGATATCACAGTCTACTAGGAAGGGATTTCTTTCAGCCTACTCTTCGGGAAGCAAAATCTGTCCCATTCATAGACACCCCCCCCCCCAATCTATGTCTTAAGCTGTTTTCACCCCAAGCCTGTGGACCTTTTTGGCTGCCTTGTCCCCTCTGAAATCCAGCTGATTTGCCTTTGAAATGGTTTCCCTAGAGCCAGCACTGACAGAGGAGGAATTCAGAAGCCAGTGGCACTTCTTTGGGGTTATGCCAAGCAGCGTAAGCCACCATGTGTCTCGGGTAAGGGCTCTGTACCGGATGATTCTGCGGTTGCACCGTGCGTTGCCACTGGAGCTGAAGACCTTGGGAGATCAGTATGTGAAGGATGAATTCAGGAGACACAAATCTGTCAGCTTTACAGAGGCCCAGCGCTTCTTGCAGGAATGGGAGGTAAGTCACTCCACTATGTCTGTTGCTGCACTGCCTTGCTCTAGGTTGATCTGTGTTGCATATAGCATGCTTATCTCTCTTTGTCTGTCCCGTCTCATATTCCAGTCCTGGAGATGATGATGATTTCTAGCAGAGTACTTCATAATCATTGTAAGGTGCTTTATAATTAAAAGAACCATGACATTTGAACCCAGATCTGCATAAATTTAAGATCCTGAGCCTGCATATTTGGGACCTGAGGGCTGCCAGGCAGTGATTGAACCTGCACATTACCACCTTCTGGTCAAAGTGGGAAACTGCTGAGAGATTAGCTAGACCAATCAGCAAGCAGCTCAATAACAATAAGGCAAAAAATGTCAGGTGATACTCTGATGCTGTACAGGTTTCGAGGTCAGGTTTGTTAGTTAATTGCTTGTCTGACACATCTAAGAAGGTACAAACATCCTCTAGAAGAATCCTCTAGAAATACTTTTGATCTGTCTGAAGAGTGGCAGTCCATCATAAACAAAGCATCAAGGCAATATATCTCCCTCCAACAGTGGCATATAGGTGAAAATCATTGTGCATAAGCAAAGCAAGCAACTTGTGTTGGTGTGGAAGGGAATCCATGAAGCCATGTGTTTCTGTGACAGGCCATGTGCAAAGGTGATCTTTGCCACATGGACTGCATAGAACAGAACAGTTTAGGGTGTACATATTGGTCAATCTCTTGAGAATGATGCAAATCTTGTGGCCACTGCTGCTCCAACCCTTGGTTTTGATCATGTCACAGGTGCATTTTTGTACATGAGCAAGCCCTCCCCCCTTCACAAGGCCAGATAGATAACGCCGTCTGGCAGCACTGGTTCTCACGGTCTCCCTATCGCTGTTTACGGCAAGCGGCAGAGCAGCGAGCAAGCCAGGATCAGAGAAGGGAACAAGCAAAACATGACAGCTAGCTGACATCATATCTAGTTCAGAGCCCATATATTTTACATGTATTTATTGTTTATTTGTCTTTGATACTTACCATTTAGTACTGTAATATTTCATTTTTTAAAAACAAAGTGTAAAGCTAGATGGACTATAAAGGTCATTATTGTATATATTTTTGAACTAGGGATGGGCACAAACTGGGAAAACGTGATCCGTTTTGTAGTTATAATTGTACCACGAATCAAATCACAAACCAAACCAGAAGGCTTGTTCACGAACTGAACCAGGTTGTGTGGTTCGTGGTCCTGCAAACTCCTTTGAAAGGGACCACAGTCCCTTTCACTGGGGTTTGCAGAAAGCCCGAAAAACATCTGAGCAGTGTGGAGCAGCTCCCTGCCACTCAGCTGTTTCAGGCTATCTTCCTCAGTCCCTTTAAACTGGGCTGCATGAGGGAGCTGGCAGCTGGGTTGGTGGGGAAAATTCTCCCCCCAGCTCTGCTGTCTCAGGCTCCCTCCTGCAGCCCCTTTAAACTAGGCTGCACGAGGGAACCTGCAGCTAGGCCAGCAGAGAGAGTTCTCCCCACCTCTGAGCTGTTGGTTTAAATGGCTTGGAGCCATTTAAACCCTGCTTTCTGCTCCTTGCAAAAAGCTGCAGGGAGCTGAAATTAGGGTTTAAATGGCTCCCAGCTTTTTAAACCAAACAGCTGAGTAGTCGGGAGCTCCCAGCAGCTCAGCTGTTTCTTGTGAAGAGCTTTTTGCCCTTCATGAACTGCCATGAACCACCATGAATTGTGCCAAAATTCATGGAAGCTCTTCATGGTTCTTCACAAACTTCAGTTCGTGAACCATGAACCAAACACAATGTGTGACAAGCTTTAGTTTGTCAGCTGGTTTGTGTCCATCCTTACTGTAAACAGTAGATAATGGGAATAGCTGTGATATATTACCTATAGATTGCAGTTGTATCCTGCCATTCAAGAAATTAACGGTGCCACACAGAGTTTGGTGTCCCACATTTTATCCTCACAAACATGCTATGAAGTAGATTAGGCCAGCCGAAGGTCTCCTAGGGAGCTCCAGGGCAGAGTGGGGATTTGAACCTGGGTCTCCTCAGTTCCGATACAACATTTCAGCTACTAAACCTTAATGGCTCTGGAAAAGTATATACTCATTTCCAGTTACCAGTTCCAGCACTCCAGGAAGTGAGAAACTACTGGTCCAGATGTTATCTGACATCAAGAACATGCAAATGAGTTTAATGGCCAGTAGAACTTGCTCCAAATATTTGCTGTATGGTGAACTTTCAGCTTGTCACCAATGATTTCTTACTATAGTTGGTCAGTTATGTCTGTGGGACGCAACTATAAAGGGAAGGAACTTTTGAAAGAGGAAACTGTTGTCTTTGGAGTTAGTCTAACCACTGCTGAAATAAGCGATTCTCTTTTTATTTCTTTGTACATGGTGATGTAGAGCAAAGTCTGATGAACTTCCTTTGTTTAACTTTTATAAATGAATTGCCTTTTCCCCTATGCTACTAGTTGGGTGGTCATGATGAAATGGGAGGAGGCGTTAAAAAGAGAGTGTGCATTGCCATTTTTAAGTGCAAAACAAAGGTTCAAGTGCTGTTGCCATACATAAGGGTATTCTAAAACAATGGTTCTCTGTCCATGCAGATATCCCATGATAAGGGAATAGATATGTTTTTGCCAGAAACCAGGGGGGAAAACCAACGTAAGATACATAAGAAATTGTCAGGAAAAGATCTGAAAAAATGAGGAGGAGTTCTTATGCCTTGGCGACTAAAGAGAACCTCCATATTCAGAGGCAGTAAACCTCTGAATATCAGTGATAGGAGGTAACATCAGGGGAAGGCCTTGGTCTCTGTGTCCTTCTGGTTGACCCTCTAGGGCGACTGGGTGGCTACAGTGTCAAACAGGATGTTGGAAATAAGCACAGGTCCCCAACATTATGAAGAAACTGTAAGAAATTGCATTAGAGGCCATATTATGTACTCTAGTCATCTAGATATGAATGTTGAGTTATTTGGCTTTAATTACTGTGAATGCAGAATCAAGAATTTATTTATTTCGATTTATATCCCACCCTTCCTGTGAGAGGGCAGGTTACAACAATAAATTATAATCAACGGGATTAAAAGTAGATATTAAACAATAAAAACAGTTAAAAGATGGGCATAGCAACAATTAAATATTCAGCAATCCTAAAACTGGGAACAATTGGGCTGCAGCTGAGCTATAAAGGTCTTATCAGCAGCAGCCTATCCATAGCAGCAACTGTAGCAGGGAGGCCAATTAATGGAGACACTTCATCTGTTGCAGGATCACCTGATGGTTCCTTAGCTGCAAAGGGCATTCACTTTGTACTTGACAAAGGCAAATAATGATACCCAGGGACCTTATCAGCCATTATGCTTTAGAGTACTGCAGGTACACAAAATAAGGAACCACATCTCTGGGAAGAAGTGGGAGCAGTTTGTTTGATAGTCCAGGTGTGGTTTCTGGTTCTGTCTGCAAAGGGACTGTGGGTGTTTTGGGAGTCCAAGAGTTAGGGAATGCTCTTGGACAGGGGTCATTTCGTAGGAAAAGAGGTGCAGGAGCTCATTAGCATAACTCATTAGCATAACTTATTTGCATATGCCACACACCCTAACATCACCGAAAGTGTGGCAGAAGGCAACACCCACCACTCAGGCTCCACTGGACTGTTTTGGATTGCTAGCTATTGGGGGGGGGGACGTGCAGATCTGTCCTCACAGAGGAGGGAGAGCTTGTACCTGGATAAAACTTGGTCTTAAAGCTGCCACTGGACTGTTTTAGGCCGGGGGGGGGGGGATCTGCAACTTACCTGGCTGCTTCTTGCTCTGACTGAGGGCTGCTGGGAGCAGGGGGTGGGGCTTGTTGCATGTGCCCGCCCCTTGGGCTCTTTACTGCCAGAGCTCCGCTCCTGTGCGCTCCTGCAGGAAATGACTCCTGCTCTTGGAGCAGCTGAGACTTTAGGAATTCTTGGAAGAGGTGCCCAGCAACTGGCAGTTCTTCAGATCCTGGCATTATAAAGGAAGAGACAGGGTGGGGATGGAAAGTGCCATCAAGTCACGACTGATTTATGGCAACCCCTTGTGGGGTTTTCAAGCCAACAAAACGTGGCTTGCTATTCCCTGGCTCTGCATCGCAACCCTGGACTTTGATTTACTATCCAAATACTATCCAGGGCCAGCCCTGCAGTGCTTAGCTTCCGAGATCTGATGAGATTGGGCTAGCCTGGACCATCCAGGTCACTACTGAGCATGTCTACCTAATGGCAAAAGACTATTTTGTTTGCTGTATGATAATGTAAAAATAGAATAAAATTATTGCTAAAATATAAGCCACTTTACTATACGATATGATCTAAAAAGTAGAGGTGCCACAGCTGAGAAAGCCCTGTTCCTAGTCGGCTTTCCACCTCATCTTGGCACAGGAATTAGGTCCTCTCCTGCAGATCTCTTGCTGTCAACCTGTACACTGGAGATCGAATAGATCCGTAATTTAAGTGCTCGTGATCACAGTATTCTGCTGAGCAAGAAAAATCTACCACTGGAATGAAAACCACAATGATAGCTTGGACTTGCACGTACCCTCAAGATTAAACTGTTGTCAGAGGTAATTTTCTCAGTTTAACTGATTGTCTCTTAAAATTCCTTAATATCATTCACAGAGCATTCCTACAGTGCCACCCTAGGGCACCATCTAAACTCTCCCAGCATAGAAACGACACATAAAATCTTAATACTTTTAACAACTGAGAGCATAGCAACAGTACTGGAGTCCATGATGGCTCTGCCAACAGCCACCAATCACGGAGCAGCTGATGATGCTCCCATACATAGAACTGATCTACATGCAACAGTGCTGCCATATGCCTGTGACATCATCGTGCCCTGCCACATAAGGCACAAAGCAAATATGGAAGGCCCAGATGGAACAGAAGACTCTCAGTTCTGTGGAGGACTGTGGTTTTCCCAGGAGGAGCTCTTTGATTACCATGCTGTGGGGATCTCTGCAGATGGGGTCTTGTCCCCTCCTGGAA